CGAGGGGGCAGGTCGAGGGGGCGAGTCGGCCGGGGGGCGGAGCAAGTGTCTCATGGAAGGCCGCTACAGACAGGAGGGAAGAGCCGATTGTGTCAGATGCTTTAGCGTCTGACATGTTCGGGTAAACAGAGCGCGGGACTGGGAGTCGACCCGCGATCTACCAGCAATAGGTTTGCGATCGACTGGTAGATCGCTATCGACCTTGTGGGCACCCCTGCTTTAAACGATCCCCAAAGACTCATCTCTTCAGGGAAGCCTATCCCGCCTCAAAATAACCACTGAACTATCAATTTCTAAACAATTCATCCCCCACACAGCTCCCTCCTCATGTATCACTTGCCCCTCTCTTGTAGATTGTAAGCCCTCAGGGGCAGGGCCCTCCTTACCGTCTCGTCTTGAATTGTATTGTAACTCTAATGTCTTCCTTATATTGTAAAGCGCTGCGCAAAGTGTTGGCGCTCTATAAATCCTGTATAAAAATATTAATGTCATCCTGTGCCTCAGCACAAAACGTCCTCCATCTTCTTAGTTGAGCATCACACTCAGCATCATACAACCCTGAAGACTGAGGAAAGACTGGCAGTGCAGAGTGCCATGGCCCAGAAAGCATAGCACCCTGTACTCACAGTGTAATGATGCAGGGAGTGGCGCTGATGTGATCATGTCAGTGCTGCTCTTTGCATCTTCCAAGACTAAAGAGGAAGAGGACCCAGAGTGTTACATGACTTTCCAAAAGCCATCAGAGAACATAGTAGCAGGACCACCGGCGGGAAGGAAAGCATGGATCCCAAAGTTGCTCATTAAGCCTTGTGCACCTGCTGCACCCATATTTATTGAAGAAACATGTCACAAGCATCAATTAGCCAACGTTTCGGGGCCATGCAGGGTCCCTTCTTCAAGGTGACATAGTGACGATTGCTCAATGTAGCTTCACATGTATATGTACAAGAAAACACCAAAATACACCCCAAGAACCACCCCATGATGTCACAATGACGTCAGAACCAGCCATAATTCAAAGAAATAACAGATTCCCACCAACAAGTGCAATAGCATATAATAATAGTGCAAGGCAAAGACCAGGGTGCAATAGGTATAAAACATTATCAAACATCATATATACAAGCAGAAATGCTGCATACCTCAGCTCGTAGATTAATCAGTGGGATACTGATAGTGAGATCAGGAGGCAGTACCATGTTGGGTTATATGGCCGTGTCCTCAGCGTCTTGCACTATTATTATATGCTATTGCACTTGTTGTTGGGAATCTGTTATTTCTTTGAATTATGGCTGGTTCTGACGTCATTGTGAAATCATAGGGTGGTTCTTGGGGTGTATAGTATATTGGTGTTTTCTTATATATACATACACACATATATATACAGTATATATACAGGGCTCGAAAAATCGTCTGCTCGTCTGTAATTACACGGCCGTCCGGGAGCTTTACAGTCAAGCGATCGAGCGATCGCTTGTATCAGAAGCTGTCACTGCCGTTGCCGGTCCCGAGATCCGCTGTGCCCGATGCGGCCGGGACCGGCACGGCTCTGTGACAGGAGATCAAAGGGAGTTCAGTACACGAACTCCCTTTGATCTCCTCTCAGTCCCCGAATGCAGGAAGTGATGTATATTACATCACTTCCTGCATTCAGTGTCACTCTCCAGCTAGAGAAGCTGATGAAGCCGATCTCTGCTTCATCAGCTTCTCTGGGGGTCCCTAGGTGACATTAGGGGTCTTGGAGACCCCTGATGTCTCCCTAAAGAGGACCTGTCATGTAAATTGGCTATCCCATAGGGGGCTTCTTAGCCCCCCATGTAATAGCAATAAATTTGTATGTAAAAAAAAAAAAAGTTATAAAAAAATGAAAAATGAAAGATTCATAAAAAAAATAAAGAAGCATAACATTTATTTTTTTAAACATTTTTTTTAAGTCCGCGCCCCCCTAATACACACGCATATATGCGTCAGGTGCGCCTACGTGCCGCACATGTTGCATATCGCCGGCAACGTAGTGAAAGCAATAATTTTAGAGCCATTAAGGCCGGGTTCACACCTGAGCGTTTTACAGCGGTGATCGACGCGCCGTAAAACGCCCTGCAAGTGAAATCCCATTATTTCAATGATGGGAGGACACTAATTTGTGTCCTGCCGTTAACCTAAGGAGAACTATGGGGAAAAGCCCTAACCCCATAGTTCTCCTTTAATCACTGATAACACTAAACTGATGAACAGTAAAAGCGTTTTAATCGTCACCTATGGGCGTTTTTTTGCGATTTTTGTGGGCGCAGTCAATTTAGGGCTTGACATGTTTGGTGTCTATTTACCCGACGTCACCCCGACTTTTATGTTTTACTAAAAATATGGGTAAGAATAAATGTTTTATAACATAACGTAGGGAAACGTTTTTTTTTTTTTACATTTATGGTACTTTTTAAATTATATAGTAAAAAAAAATACCCCCTCCCCCCCGTGGTGATTATATACCTCCAAAAGAAAGCTCTATCTGTCCCCAAACGTTTTTAACATAAATTGCAAGGCTATAGTCCGGTCATGCTGACTGGTGACATTTTTGACTGACTGGTGAGACACTATCAAATGTTTCAAGCCCTGTATATATATCTACACATGTGAAGCTACATTGAGCAGTTGGCACTATGTCGCCTTAAAGAAGGGACGCTGCGTGGGCCCCCGAAACATTGGCTAATTGACGCTTGTGACACATTTCTTCAATAAATAGGCGAAAGAATTGAATGCTTTTGAGTGCTGGTGATCTCCGTCTTCTATCATATCTGAAGGTGCACGTTGGATTTCACTATCACTGATGGAATGCTGAGAAAAGTTCTGAAGTTTATATAAAGACTGGGATTGAATTAAAAAATCTGTTTTTTCCCCCCACATCAAGTGTTTGTTAGTATGCAGTGGACATTTTCTTGCGTTTGGGTTTTATTGTCTCAACTTCAAATACAAATGTCACCAGCACACAAAGACTCTCATGTCAGTGCAAATCCATTTAATGAAATAATGTCACTCAGAAAATCAAGCGCTTTCGGGGCCACACAGGGTCCCCGTCATCAGGTTCAGAGTAGACCATGTCTAATCCCTGTCTTGGGATTTCCGGTAAGGAGTTCTACAGGACCTATGGATATTTGGGTTTTATTGTCTCTCACATCATTTATCACTTTCTTTGGTATTATGCTAGGGCTGGTAATGATTACAATTTTCGTGTTCGATTAATCAACATTTTTTTAATCGATTAATTTCGATTAATTATAATGCACATACAGAGCCAACTACATTGGCCTATACACATACAGCACAGCAATGAAGTATTTAAATGAACTAGGATCACACTAATCCAGCACATTATTAATCTCACGTGCCCCACTCAATATGGCCGCCGCTTGAGTGGGGCAACTCAGAATAATAATAACGTGCTGGATTAGTGTGATCCTAGTTCATTTAAATACTTCATTGCTGTGCTTTATGCGTATAGGCCAATGCCTTGGCTGGCGCTCGTGCAGAAAGTTTCTGGGGCAAACTCACCGGCCCAAGTGGCTCCGTCGGCTAACAAAGGGGGAGGAGTCCGGCGTCACCGGACTCCTCCCCCTTCCCTTTGTTAGCCGTCACGGACATCGACGTCACCCGACTCCTCCCTCCTTCCTTTCGTTAGCTGACGGAGCCACTTGGGGAAGGGGGGAGGAGTCCGGTGACGTCGATGTCCGCGACGTCACCGGATCGCCGACGAGACTCCCGGAAGCCGGCGGAGAGGCGAGTGTTTTCATTAGCGATCAAAATAATTTTAATCGATCAAAAAGTTTAACGATTAATCGAGAAGGAATCTTTCATTTCCACAGCCCTATTATTATCACATATATTGATTGGTTTGGAGTGTGTCACATAGGAATTGGGATACGTTTGGTAACACCGTGATTTCAGAATACGCTCACTACTTTTCAAGTTCTGCTTTCACCTCCCTCTCTATTCCTCTCCTCTTTTGAAACCCACTGTACAGTATTCGCCTATTCTCTCCAATTTCGCTGAGGAT